CCAAACATGAAGATTCATAAGACCAGTAGGAGATTACTACAAGGTTGCAGGAACACCTCCATACCAGAAACAAACCACTGGAATTTAACAGTAGAAACACACAGCACCACGGAGGGAGCAGAGGTGAGAGAGACAGACTGTCTTCAGTATCTTTATGAGAATATATTCTTTATAAGCCACAGTTTAGATAAAATAAATCAAAAGAGATTTAAACAAATGGAAGGATAGTCCATGTATAGAAAGACTTGGTATCTTAATTTGATCTATAGATTCAATAAAATAACAAAAGTTCAAGTAAATTACTTTGTAGCCATCAGCAAGCAGATTCAAAAGTGGGTATAGGAAGACAAAAGACCCAGGATTGTTAAGTATTCAAAGAGGACAGAGTTGGAAGGCTAGCATTATCCAACTTCAAGACGGACTTACTAAAAAGTTCTAGTAATGAGACAGTGTGATACAAGAAAAAAGCAAATGAAATAATTTAATATTTCTAAAGATAAAGGTAATGGAGCTAAGGTATACACTGACAAATTCACTCCAAGGTGAGAGATTGAAACAAGATTTCTCAATTATCATAGGTGGAACAGATAAATGGTTAAATATTAAGATGTAGAAAACTGTCTCTAATAGTTAATATAGCAGGACAAAGAAAAGAAAGGTGTATAAGAATAGATGAATGGAAAGCCCAGAAAGTGGTTGTATCTACTAGCATGGCAGGTCCAGCTGGAGGCCAGACCAGAAAGAAGCACTTGGGTAGTTTGGGTGATACTGCCAACAGTCTAGTTCTTGAGTGGTGTGTTCATAGTGTGTTCTCATAGGATACATCTTCCCTTGTGCTTCTGTTACACATATCCTTTTGTATAAATTTAATAAAAATCTGTTGCCCAAATAAAGTCTTTATTTTTCTGTATGCTTGAGATTTTATCCTGGAGTAGAGGTTTTTCTAATCTTATCTGTAAAAATGTTAGACAGTGATTCATGTCCCCTTCTAACAGACATTCCATTCCAGTAACATTAATTAAGAGTTTACCACATCCAGTATGTCTCCTAATACCAACAGCAACCTGTAAAATCAGTGATGCTTTTCACAACCATGAAAAGAAAATTAACGTTCATGGGCTACTTTGTCCCATCCTCTTAGGAACCTGACAAGGGCAGGTTCCTTCTTTTATGGGTTATATGTTTCTTTTACCGTCACTTACATCACAGAATTAAGTTAAAAGTAAATGCTTAGCAAGGCGGTGGTGGCACACACCTTTAATCCCAACATTAGGGAGACAGAGGAAGGCAGATCTCCAAGTTAAGGTCAGCATGGTCAGTGTGAGTTCCAGGACAGCCAGGGCTACACAGAGAAACCCTGTCTCAAAAAAACAAAACAAAACAAAGTGAATGCTTGTAAATTTACAAAGAAATTAAGCAATAGACAGGGAGTCAGATGTCTTTTCTATTTTCAAAGCCCTCTAGAGTGGGAAAGCCCACATTTTTCCTTACACCCACTCTGAAACCCATCATACTGTAAAGCAGAATTTCCTACTTTTCATTAATAAGACTTTGAGTTGAAATAACATGAAAAACCTTGAATTAAGCATTTTTGGCAACATGGGTCAATATTTTAAGTTAGACTTTGAGTTATTTTAGTTTCCACAAACTCATATGTAAAGGATGCTTTGGAAAAAGGAAGGTGTTGCAACATTTATTTCTTCATTCAGAATATTTGTTTTGACATTTTATAGTAAAAAAAAAAAGATAGAGATAGGCACTAAAAGAGAACTCATAACTTTCAACATTTTTCTTTTTAAATTATTTAAGATAAAAAAATGTGAAAAACTGGTGTTAAATATTCACCCAGATTCTCTAGATGTTCTCATATTACATAGTATAATATTAAAAATCAGGAAGTAGACATTGGTATAATATTAGTGTTTAACTCTAAAGCATTAATCCTATTTTATCAATTATCTCACTATCTCCTTTCTTGTTCTTTTCTCCCTCTGGTCCAGGAGCTAGTCCATGGTGACATGATGCAAACATTTTTTGTGCCTTATTGGTGCTCTCCCCCTTTATGGCATTGACACTTTAGAAAAGTATGGGCCATTTCTTTTGTTGGGTGTTATTTAATTTAGATTAGCCAGGGTTTTGTCCTGATTAAACTCAAGCTGTGTCTTTGGGGGAAAACACCGAAGAGGAAATCTCATGTCTCTCAGGAGTGGACAGATGTCAGCTTGTCTCAACACTTCTGATCACATGATTGATGATCAAATGATCACAGGATCGAGGTGGTGTTTGCTAAGTTTTCTCTTTGAAAGACTTAAGTATGCACTAGGCTGAACTCCTGGAATTCAGTTGCAGAGAGGGAGAAGTGATGAACAAAGGGGTCAAGACCAGGCTGGAGAAACCCACAGAAACAGCTGACCTGAACAAGGGGAGCTCATGGACCCCAGACTGATAGCTGGGAAACCAGCATAGGACTGACCCAGACTCCCTGATTGTGGGTGTCAGTTAGGAGGCCTGGGCAATCTATGGGGCCTCTGGCAGTGAATAAGTATTTATTCCTAGTATATGAATGGACTTTGGGTGCCCATTCCCCATAGAGGGATACTTTCTCAGCCTAGACACATGGGGGAGGGCCTAGGCCCTCCTCCAGATGATATAACAGACTTTGAAGATTCCCCCATGGAAGGCCTCACCCTCCCTTGGGAGCAGAAAGGGGATGGGATAGATGATTGGTGGGGTGCAGGAGAAGAGAGGAGGAAGAGGGAACTGGGATTGACATGTAAAACAAGCCTGTTTCTAATTTGAATAAAAAAGGAAAAAAAGAATTAAGTATAGAAGGGAGATTCTTAAGAAATGAATAAAGGAATATCCAAATTTTCATTAAAAATTTTCCTACTAGTTTCACCATCCACTGATTTTTTTCCTGCAGTAGAGATATATAACAGATGCTGAACATCTAATGCCCGTGTTCCTGGTATTTGACTGTGAAGAACTTTGCCTGTTATTTGTTTATTCATTATACTATATCGTAAATATCATCAGATTCCCTTGTCATTCCATGGGTAATATCTGTTACTATCATTATTTTTAATAACAAAGAAGAGTGTAAAGCCGGGCATTGGCGGTGCACGCCTTTAATCCCAGCACTCGGGAGGCAGAGGCAGGCAGATTTCTGTGAGTTCGAGGCCAGCCTGGTCTCCAGAGCGAGTGCCAGGATAGGCTCCAAAGCTACAGAGAAAGAAACCCTGTCTCCAAAAACCAAAACCAAACCAAACCAAACAAACAAACAAACAAAAACAAAGAAGAATGTAGAAATAAAAATAGAAACACTGAAACTAGCAGCTTAAGTCCAAGTAAAGTAGACCTGGTGATCTGGAGGAAGAGACACTGTAGCACAGAGCAAAGTAGGAGTGGTGCAGACACTGAGCATGGACTACAAAGGAGGGCTAGAGCCCAGGATTGGACAATGGGAACACCTTCATAATATCAACACTTTGTATGCCAAGAAGAGTAGTCACATTTACTGTCTGATCCCGATGAACCCTTTCTAATATTTTAGCAAGATTCTACATTTTCAGTTACTTGTGAAAACTTTAGAGTGAGACTAACGAGATGATGAGAACAAGGTAAGAGCGGAGGCCTGGTGAGTGAAACTGCTATTCCTTACTGACGTGGGTGTCATACAGTTAACTGAGGTGAACACTGCCTGTGAGCACAGTCACCTGCAAAGCAGCCACCATGTGTGAGTCTGGAACATCTCCCTCCTCTGAAATACTGGTTCCAGATTTTTAAACACAGCTCTGCCGGTTGCACTTGGTCAGTGCTCTGGTTCTTCTTGTCCCTGTGTCCTCACAGTGAGGCCTTCTGGAGAAGTTCCAAGGCTCACCATTTTGTAGAGAGATGACAACCTTTTTAATATTATAATTAAAAATCTTTCCTTTTTAGTTTTATAACTGTTGTATCAAGTAGTTTTACTCATAGACATACTAAGAATAAAAGAATCATCAAGTATCTTTCTATTAAAACAAGATGGCCCAGTGTCTTAGTAGACTTCTTATATCAAATAATTAAACCTTTCCCACCGAGTGATTTTTATTTTTCTTGGGGGGGCACTGTTGGTTGGGGATCATGAACATGAGGCAAACATTCTATCACTGAGCTAAACCCACAAGCTGATTCTTTGATTAGAGTTTGAGAAAATTTATCTTAGAGATTCCTAGCTAAAGATTTCACTAGATAGCCCTTTATAGTCCCACCAAAATATACAAAGTGGGCCTGTGTCTCTGCCTCCACCTTCTGAGCTCACAATTATGAAATGTCTTTCTCTGCTAATTTTCCTCTATCCCTTGATAAATAAACTTAATTCTGAATTCTTAACTGTGTTCAGTAAAAGCTTAAAAAATATGACTAAGGTGATGCCTCTGAACTGTTTTCTTGATTCTTGGAATATCTGAGTGGAGTCAGTGTAACTAGAAAATTGAAAGACAGTTGTAATCATGGTTGGTGACTTACTCATTTCTATAAAATCCCATGATTTCATTGTTTCCTTATTTTTATGTTTTTAAGCATTAACTGGAACTCTTTGGTGAGTGATGTTGAAATCAGTCCTAAGATAATGAATTAGCACAATGTTTCAAGATTCAGGGAAAGTGAGATGACTTTAAATTCCTGCAGTTTGTCTTATATTTTTAAAATGATCAATGGATTTAGAAATGCTAATAGCAAGAAAATGAGTTTTATCCTATTAAAATATAAGGTGTTTTGGTTTTTTTTTTCTGATGCATAAAGGCACTAACTGCTAAGCTTGACTCCCTGAGTTTGATCCCTAGAACCTCCACAGTGGAAAGAAACAACAGACCCCCACAAGTTGTCCTCTGATTTCCACATATGTATTACAGTGGGCACCCATGAATATATACCAATAGGCACAGAATAAACAGATATTAAAAGTTATTTAAAAAGTGATTTTCTATTTGGACTTTAGAAAACCTCCAAGAAATAAAATCATGCAATCCTTAGAAATATACTTCACAAGAAAACTTAAAAACTAAATTTGCATTCAGCAGACCATGGTGTTATTTGAAAGGCTAAGGAACGGAACACTTGGAAGGACTGTTTAAAATCCTTTTCAAATGTAAGAAAAACATGCCTCTAATAAAATCTTAGACCAGTTTGAAAGTTCTAGAGGTTCTTTGGTCTTGCTAACACGTGTGGCTTACGACTTGCTTAGCTCACTAGTTAGACTAGGTGGCATAGTTAATTCTTAATTTAGAAGTTGACTATAATTAGGAAAATGCTTATTCTAGAACCATTCAGGTTCCTTGAAGATTCCCTGAGACTGCCAACAGAGAAAGTGGTAGGAAAGTCCTAATGACTATCACTTTAACCCAGGGTTTTACCTCTATAGATAATGTCCAGAAATTAGACTACCTATACTGTTAGCCTTGGTATGGGATTGTACACAAGACGCTCTATCTTTCTGTGTTTATTGGTGGAAGGACACGCTAACTGGTTGACATGTTCGTTGAAGTTAAGATTCCTACTTAACTTCTTTGGATGAAGCAACTGTCGTGAGACAATAACTCCTGCATTAGGAGTGAGGCTGGACTTGATATTGTTTTGAAGGTCTTTCAACACTTCAGATTCTATACATCCATATCAATAAGTATATAGAACTAGTATTACTATGCTTTCATACTGCTGAACCACTGACTGGCTTCTGAGCTCCCATATTTCATATCCCATTTTGTTGTGTCCTGTAGATCTTCATTAACAATGAATGGCAGAACTCAGAGAGTGGGAGAGTATTCCCTGTCTGCAATCCAGCCACAGGGGAGCAAGTGTGTGAAGTTCAAGAAGCAGACAAGGTATGTGTTGCTTAGAAAATTCCCTGTGGGAGAAACCCTGTCTCAATAAATACTGTGGGATAACCTTTTTGTACACTGTGAATATGTGTTACTCTCCTTGGTTAATAAAGAAGCTTCTTTGGCCTGTAGCAAGGCAGACTATAGCTAGGCAAGAAAGTCAAACTGAATACAGGGAGAAAGAAGGGTGGAGTCAGTGACACAAGCCAGCTGTCCAAGAAACAAGACACCAACAGGCTGGTAAAAGTCACGGCCATGTGGCTATACATATAATTAGTAGAAATGGGTTAATTTAAATGTAAGAGCTAGTTAGCAATAAGCCTGAGCTATAGGCCAAGCAGTTTGTAATTAAAAAAAAAAAACAAAAAACAAAAAAGAAAATCCCCTGTGGAATAACCACCACCAACAGCAAAACAGTGGGTATGTGTTCTAGATGTTACACTTAGGTTCAAGCATCACTTCTTTGATGACAGCAGGTAGTTTGTCTTATTGAGTGTTTCTCTTCGGTTGTGCCTCTTCATCTTTAACAGGTGGATATAGACAAGGCAGTGCAGGCAGCCCGCCTGGCCTTCTCTCTTGGGTCAGTGTGGAGAAGGATGGATGCTTCTGAAAGAGGACGTTTGTTGGACAAGCTTGCAGACTTGGTGGAACGGGACAGGGCTGTTCTTGCAGTAAGTAAACCAAGAAAGCAGTTATGTTTCTACTCCAAAATGACCACTCAACTGGAATGTATTCTGTGAAGTGTTGTTGGGCAGGGGAGCTGGGGAAGTGTATAGTATATGAAACATGAGAGATCTTTGGGGAAGCTCTTTGTGTCATTTTGAAGAAAAAAGCCATAGTATTGCATCACTACTAAGGATCTTCCTTTCTCATTTTCTTACACCTCCCAAGAGCAAAGCAAAACACATCCACTCAACAAGCAAAACAAAAGCATCAAGAAACAGGACCTCCAGGCTGTTTGTAAAAGACAAATGCCAAGTGGCTTTTTTTGTAAATCATTTAGGAAAAGAAGGATGTGGACTCTCATACATTCTACTCTGTTATACCAGTTTTTAGATTTATGAGAGAGAAATTTGCATTTCTTTTCATTAGAACTATTACACACACTCCCAACATGCATAGGGGTATCTTCTGATCTGGTGGGTTTGGTTGTTTTTCTAAAATAAAGGTTACTTTGAGGACTGGAATGTTGGGTTAGCAGTTAATAGTACAGACTGCTCTTCCGGAGGACCTGAGTTTGGTTCCCAGCAAGCATATATGGTAGCCCATGAATCCCTGAAATTCCAGCTCCAGGGAATCAGACCTCTGGCCTCCCCAGGCATCTGTATTTGTGCGCTCATACCCCCTCACACACACACCAAATACTTTAAGTAAAAAGAGGAATTTTCTAAATAGATAGTTCTTTTATAATGAAGACTTTATAAGGCTAGAGACCACAAAGGAATGTAGGCAGTGTATGTCAGGGAACCATCCTTGGATAGTCCTCAACTGGTTATGGACTCCACTTTTTCTCTGTTTCTTAAACCTTGGCTCTTTGTTAGTTAACTACATTAGAGAATGTGTTGTCTAATTTATGAACATACAAATGGTCTTAGAAGGACTAGGAAATGATTGGATCGTCTTTTATAAAAGTGAGCCAGTGTAGCGTGACCAGTAGCATTGAAAACGAGCTTCATCATTTTGTGGAATAAGTGGGCAAATTGTGCCATCAGTAATAGCATTATTTAACTTCATTGAATGGAAAATATTTCAGCTTTAGCTTTGTCAGTAATTAAACAATTTTATATCAGTGGATATTATAAAATGTCCTTTTGCAGAGAAACATGAAATTATAAATGTCCATTTTTGTTCATTCCATTTGTTAAGCTTCTAACAGCCTAGTGTGTCTCAAGTGAAAATAGTCTGACTTCTTTGTTTCAGTGGTTGTTGTTTTTGTAACATACTTAATCAATTTAGGAACATGTCATTAAAATAATGTTTATAATGTAGAGCTGTTTATTATTGCTATTTTTATAAATGGACCAGATACTTTACTCTTAATAGATAATGGTTGTTAACATAAATGTTTACAAAAACCAGCCTTTAAATTGTTAAAGTCTGGGCTTCCCCAGAGGAGATCTTGTTTATTTGGTGGTAATAAATAAGCTTGCTATGCACCATGAATATTTCAGTTCTCAGCAGGGGTCTTGGCAGCTGTGTAGAACACTTTATATCTACATTGAATGCATACAAAACCGACATCCTTGCCTCTCTTTGTGGATTCGGATTACTAGTGCACTCTTAGAAAGATCCCCATGCCGCTCTGACCATTAATATAACAGAAGATGGTTTGACAAGCAGAGCGTTTCTTTATCATCAGTTAAAGAAGCGTTGTGTTTATATATCTGGACAGTGGATAAGGAAAACGCACAGGCACAAGGACAGCATGTGTATGTCCATTGTGGAATTTTACTAGTAACTAAAGCAAGTCTGTTAGGACTGCACACCTTCCTGTTTGGGAAAGCGGAATTGAACAAGTGTGCATCACCATTCATACCCAGCCAGGTTCCCTCTATTCCTTGTTTCTTCTTCTGTAGAATCAGAATCACTACAGTGTATCACTACAAAGTTCTGAGGACTTAACTCTTCTCTATTTCTTTTCCTACAGACCATGGAATCCCTAAATGGTGGCAAGCCATTCCTGCAAGCTTTTTACATCGATTTGCAGGGAGTCATCAAAACCCTGCGGTATTATGCAGGCTGGGCTGATAAAATTCATGGAATGACCATTCCTGTTGGTATGTGAAACACGAGTATGTCAAAAAGGGAAACGTGGAGCACTGCTGGAAATACTTTACCAAACACAAAAAACCGCCATACACAATGCAGATATGGATCCACTAGTGGCAGTTTGAACCAAGCTTAGGGTCAAACAATATGTCACTAACCCTGACAATGTCCCTCTCTTCATGTATAGATCTAAGTGTGGAGGACCACTTAAATTCGTTTATCAGTCACCTGGGGAATAGCTATGCAGGGATTAGCGACTAAGAGCTAGCTAGGTAAGACCCTCAGGATTGAAGTGTTGGAACAGAAAGGAACGCAACAGAAGGGGATCTATTTTAGCTACTGGATGGAAGAAATTTTATAGGAAAGAAACCAACTGAAGTGGACACGAGGATCTGATAAATTTTTCCGCCAATCTGCCCAAGCCCCACCACCACATTAAGGTCCCAAGTAACACACAGAGACTTATATTAGGTACAATGCTGCTGGCCAAAGACTAGGGTTTCTTATCTTCTATCTCTGTCTTAAGTATTAACCATAATTATTAATCTATATATTCTATAGACTTATATGATCGAGGATGCAGGAGGAATGCATCCTGTCTTCCTGGTGATCACATGGTGACTGTGTACCTTTCCTACATTTCCCAAAATTCTCTTCAACTCCTAGTCCCACCTATCTTTTTATATTATTATCCACCCGCCACTCCCCAGGCAGGGTAGGGCCCTCAACGGGGGCTCTGCAAAGTCCACCAAGTCTTCCTGTGCTGGTCCCGGGCCCTTCCCCATGTGTCCAGGGACAGAGTGTAACCCTTCACGCTAGCCCCACCTATCTTGCTCCCCCATTGGCCAACGGTGCTTTATTCAACAACCAATAAGACAAACATATACACAGAAGGACCTCCCCATCAAGGATCCACCTCATGGTGGTCAGTATAGTTAGACTAAGCCAGGGGGTTCCTGAGGGGTGAGAGAGGTGATAATTACTTAGATATTTATTCTCAGATTGGTTGAGCCATTCACATTTGTCCTTTGTAACACCATAATTCATTATCAACTTCATTGTTGATTGTTTTTCCATACTGAAGTCCAGAATTTAGGAAGGTCATGTGGTCTTTATGTATTACCAGTTTTTGTTTGGCATTATAACACAAGAAATAGTGAACATTTATCTCCATAACACTTGAACATGTTAAGTGTTCTTTCACATTTAAGATCTGATAACAATGTGATCCTGTAAAACAAACTGGAATTAAAGAATGTGTGCCTAATGAGATACTAATAACTTAGTGTCTCAACAAGGTCACTTGACGAGTGAATTTCAGGTCTAATAATCAGAACTTGTGTTAAGAATAATGGCACTGTGTTTTCTGTATGTTGACTACAGATGGGAAATCAAGTGTAGAGAACAAGTATCTACCTTGTTTGTCTTCTCGAATGACAGCCTTTTGGTAAAAGGCTTTGGAAAGGGGAGAAGAGATGACTATTTATTTTGGAACCTTCAACAAGATGCCATTTCCTCCAACAAGGGAGTTTCGCCCACTGCCCTTCTCATTCAAGACTCACAATTAGCTGCTATTGCAGAATATTGCAATATCAGTTTGATTCGAAAAGGGTCTGGTGCTATTTTCTTTATAACACTATCCATTATTTCCTGGCCTAGCACTCAGTGGAGCAATTTTCTTTAACCATAAATCCTGTGCTTTAACCATCCTGTGGCAACTCCTACTTATGATGATTAATAATAATCATTACTTCGATTTATTGGATACTTTCCTTTTGCTCACTTTTTATCTCTTCTGTTGTAGCAGCCCTGAGTAGTATAATCTTCTCCTTGTTGGTCTTTGTAACTCATATCGAGTCCTCTTTTCCTTTCCTGCCCATACATCCCTGCAATGGAAGATGAATCAAATTTAAAGTTATTTACAGTTTGCTGATCATGAAAGAGGAGTTGTGGTGCTCTAGTTTCCTCTGAATGAGTGTTGATTTTATTGATTTTATATTAAGTAGGAAAACAGGATCTATAAGGTATATGTCAGCATATAGTGAAGATTAAAAACTACCTGGGTCATATAGGTTTCATTTTTGTTCCATTCCAGTTTTACCTGTTAAACTGAAGAATGAGCTTTAAAAAATGCAGATAATGATCGATCCTAAGCTTTTGGCTTCAGTCAGCTCATTCTGGTACTGTCAGTAGTGAATGCATGGGTGAAATCTGAAATTCTGTTTAATCATAATGAGAGTAAGGGCTACTTGCTGAACTCACTTGCTAAGAACTGGGGTAGATATAGGAGCTGAATGGATGGGGACAAGAAGCAGTGAAGTCAGCTCTTCACAAGGAACCTCTTGAGGACACTTTGGAGAACCCAAGAGATCCATAAGGCTGATCTCACTTTATAGACACAGAAACCAATTACAGAAGAGTAAGCTAAATTTTTTTCAAGACTGTGTAATGAAATAGTTATAGATCTGAGTCCTATTAATGGAAGACTCTGGAACATGTAATATCACTTCTTAGAATCTTCCAGTAGACTCCTGGAAGGAATAGTGTTAGTACCACTTCATGCTGATGTAGTTTCATTGTTTGAATAAGCACCCAAAGAATTTGCCACTGTTGCAAAATGATCAGACAACTCTGCATGGTGTTTACATACACTGGAATGTTCTAGAATACAGAATGGAATAGTTCTATGCTTTGGCCTAAATACTTAATACTCAGATTATTGAATTCATCAAATTATCAATTAATAATTTACTTAATAATTAAGTATTAGTTATTGAATAATTAATCATTGATTAATTATCCAGAATTACTCCTACAGAGTAATTCTTTTTTGTTTTTTTAGTTGCTTTCTCTTTTTTTTTAAATTTTATTTTAGAGGCACTCATATTTACTTATCAATCCCCCCATTCCCTCACCCTCCCATCCTCCCATGTTCCGCCCCAAACCTCCCACCCCACCCTCTACCCCCCACCTCCTCCTCAGGGATAGTGAGGCCCTCCATGGGGGACTGTAAAAGTCCATCATATCATTTGGGGGAGGGCCTAGGCCCTTCTTGCTGTATCTGGGCTACAATAGTATCCCTCCATAGCGAATGGGCTCTCAAAGCCCACTTTTGCTCTAGGGATAAACACTGGCTCCACTGTTAGAGGTCCCATAGACTGTCTTGGCCTCCTAGCTGTCCCCCACATCCAGAGGGCTTGGTTTGGCCCAATGCTGATTCCCCAGTTTTACAACTAGGGTCTCCATGCTCTCACTAGGTCAGGTCAACTGTTTCTGCCAGTTTCTGCAACACCATCTTGGCTCCTTTACTCATCCCTCTTCCCTCCCTGCAAGTGGATTCCATGGGTATGCTTCAGTGCTTGGCTGTGGGTGCCTGTTTCTGCTTCGACCAGCTACTGAATGAAGGCTGTAGGAATGGTTACCAAGGTAGTCATCAATCTCATTGTAGGGGAAGGGCCTCAAAGGCAGCCTCTCCACTACTGCTTAAATTCTTAGTTGGGGTCATCCCTGTGGATCCCCTAACATTTCCCCCGTTCAATACCTCTCTCCACACCTGTACTGTCTCCCTCTACCAAGGCATCTCCTTCTTGCCCTCCTCTATTCTCCTCTATCTCAGTCCTCTTGTTCTCCTCCCCCTCCCCTTCTCCCCTTCTGAATAATTAATTAATTTAATTATCATTTATTTAATTAATCATTTAATTATTCAGAATTACTCCTCTAGAGTAATTCTAATGTAGTCAAATGCCCTACCCAAACCCAGAGTAATTCTGTGTGAATATTAGAGATAGGAAGATGGTGTCCATTATGCTATAGATTCTTATGTTACTAAAAAGAACTCATTTTATTGTTACTGGCTATAGGAGACTTGCTACAAGTCATGAAATGTCAATGGTTGTTATCACGGGGAGCATGAGGTTCATATCACTTATGTCAGTTTCTGACACATTAAGATTTTTGACTATAATTAAATCATAAGATTTTATTTTATGTGCAAGATGTGCCAGAATATGAGAATAAAAGCTACACTAAAGTTTTTAAAGCATTTATAGTTTCTGCCTTTAAAAATAATGTTTCCCTTGAAGGAATTACCCAAATATTTAAACTTTCAATTAACTAAATGTTAATATCTCTCTGTCTCCATCTCTCTGTTTCTATCTCTTTGTCTCTCTCCTCCCTCTTCCCCTGTGTAATTTTATTAAATCCCCAACAAAGGATGTAGGGAAGTGGCTCAATTTTCACAAGTATCAAAGAGACGTATTCTGTGCTCTCCTTTAGAACAAAGGCTTTTCCTAATGTACCTACTGTGTATGCATACTCAGCAGACATTAATGCACTGCTCAACCAAGTTCATAGCCCAATGGGATATCCAGTTGTAAGGTTCTTAAAGTCTTCATGATTCAAGGGTTCAGAATGTATTCAGCAATATCACTGGGTACTTTGAGCATTGTAGTGTGAGAGGCACCTTGTAGCATCTAGACAGCATGGGTAACCTGAAAATTAGTTCTATACAGTACTAAGTGAATAGACTTGATTTATTTTAATTCTTAGACTTAAAGAATATGGGAAGAAAAAATGTTACCGAACCTTGAAACTTGTTACTTGGTAATTTTTCTTGAAATGAGGCCAGCAAACAGCTCTGTGTACATTGTTAAGGAGTGATCAAGCAAGTGATAGAGCTAGTGACATTGGAAAAGTTTAGGAAGTTGTCTCCCAAAGAACTGGCCTCTGGTGACCCTGATTGCTGTGAGTCCTGATAGCTGTGAGCGGCCTCTAAGTGCCATTAGTCCTCCCCAAGGGACCCAGTAGAAGGTACATCTCTCCTGTGTTCCAGAAATCACAGCTGGCTAACTGGCGATGTCCCTTGGACATATCGGAGCACCCATTGAGTTCACAGGATCCAGGGCCCTTTCTTCATTCTTTCCACTCAGTGTTCTCTTGAGAAAAGCTCAAGAGCCAAGAGACCCAGGGGTTCTTTTCTTAGAACTTAGTAAAACCATCTGTGAGGACTTGAAGAGTCAGTACCCTTTCTGTGCCAGCTTTTCACTCTGTGTGTCAAATCTATGAACAGATTATCAAGTACACTTTATTCTCCCTAAGTTTCTCTTAGGACACCACTATCAAGTCAGGCTTATTCCTTGTGAGATCAGCTTATAAAGCTATTGTCTATATTTTTCTTTCCTTACTCTCATTTTTCAGTAGCTTTCAACATTACATGATACCTTTACAATCTTGCATATTTAGGATGGAGATGGAGAAACCTGTGAATCACTGTGTTGTGCTTACATAGGTAACTAGTGAATTTGCTCTGAACGACCCATTTCCTCCCGTTGTGCTAAAATAAACATTGTGTTCTTCAATTCATCTTCCCTTTACTTCTTGCAGCAATCTGCCCTCATCTCAATGATCGCCTCCCCCACCCCACTCCATTCAGTGATTTGTATTTACCACTTGAGTGCATCACCTTAACTAAATTATAGTTTAGTATGGGAGCTTTCCTTGCCAATGGAATTTTATAGAGTATTGATTAGTATTGTTGCTCCTCGTGGAAGCCCATTCCACAGGGTGATAAACTGATGGGCAGTGGTGACTTGTGCTGGCACACAAGATTCATGTGTTGTCTCCATACAGAGTTGGTGTGGTTTAGTTGATCTTTAAATTACCAGTTGGACTAAATATTGTCATCCTATGGGTAGTTGCTACATATCGGCTCCCTGTCCTGCTTGCACAAAGCATGCCTGCCTTTCCTCATTTAGGCTCTTGGGCTATTACACAAGCCCAAGAGACAAAGTGAAGATTGGGGAAAGTTTATGAATGATGTGGCAGTGATGTAATTACCTTGACATTCATAGTGTTCCTCAAATAACTAAACTAATGAAGGACCCAATAGGAAAAGGGCAAAGCTTTTAAATTTTAAGGAAAAATTGAAAATGGTTTTAGTATGTTCATCCTTAAATACCCTTAAACACAATTCAAAACTAAACACAAAACAAGTTGCCATTTTCCAGCTTTCTGATTGGCCAAAATTCAGAAAACTGAAGAAAGAGTAGAAACTGTAACATGTTGTTAGAACCGTCTATAACTCTTATAAAAAAGATGATTTGGCAAACATTTATTAAAACGCTAAAGACACATACACTTTAACCAAGAAATCCCAAAGATAAACTGAGGTACATAAAGTGTTATCCTTCGCATTGCCTCCAACAGTGTAAGTGGAAAGCCACCTGATGACCCTCAGGAGAGTTCACAGTGGTACTGTTATTGAGTTACAGTTAGCTTTCCATGAGAAAGGAGAGAGAACAAGACAATAGCTTGATTACACTTGTGGTGAGAGGTTTCCACATAAACTGTCCTGTAAGTGAAAGTTCCTTGGAGAAATGGAGGCAATAGATAGTAGCTAATTTGGAGGAGGACTAGAGCTCAGGGGTGGGAGTGAGGATGTGGGGAAGGAGAGAAAGAGAAGCAGAAAAACACTTTATTTAAAAAAAAAAACCATAATTTTGAACTTAGCTAAAACAACCCTGGGTGATAAACGTCAGTGGGTTAAGAAGTGTTGAGAGACAAAGATAAACAACTTAATGAGTCATTTATCTTTGTCTCACCCACACCCTCCTGTCCCCACCTTTATCCCCAGTTCCAATAGTCAGGCTTCCCTGAGTACTAGCTGGAGCTTCACTTTCCTTGGGGTTTAGGGGTGCTGCTTTTGACAAACAAACCACGGGTGAAGTGACCAGAGGCCTGCAACAGAAGGCTTGGCTCAATGAACTTTTAAAGTACCCAGAAAAAAAGCAGCAGCATTTTTCTGAAGAATTTGGTTTTGCATTTCCTAGGTCATTCATTATTCGAAGTACCTACTAATCCTACAAGATAATCAAAGCTGGTCAGTCAGTGTCTCTTGAGCTTTTCCTCCAAGCCCTTAGGGATACAAGGGCACCCTCCTGTCATGCCTCACTGAGGTGGGACTTTGGACCTGCCTGTGTCCCCAGGAACCAGGTAGTGCCTGTGGCAACTGCACTGAGTGAGGGAATATATCTTACTTTTTCTTCCTCACATTGTCCAGCTGCCCAGCATAAAAACTGTGCTCAATAGCATTTTGCTTAATGGCTTTTAATTTTGAAAAATATCCAGTGAGCTGTTTTAAAGCTTGAGGTACGTTAGCATTTAAATCAGCTAACTATTCTATATGTGTTAATCTTTAACATAAAGTTGAGCTTTAATGTGTTCGAGTTTAAGTTTCCTCTTTCCTGGCCTTCATTTAGTTGTAGATGTCCTCTCCTCGGGCATTCTGCTCATGTGGTGGGTTTATCTGCAGCCGCCCCCACATGAACACATACCAAGCGCCAGCTTTGGTGCACAGCGAGTAGAATGTGCTTCAACTTCTTTTCTGGTTCTCACTGACACCTAAGTCCTCCCTCTGAATCCCCCCTCCCACCTAAACTATTTTGTGGAGTGACCGTGCTTCTTGTTTTCCAGATGGAGACTATTTTACTTTCACGAGACACGAACCCATTGGAGTGTGTGGACAGATCATCCCAGTGAGTGCGCCTTCTCACACTTCGTATTTATTTTCATTTGGCCCCGTTCTCTTAAAGACACATAAAACATGGTCCTTGGTGGTGCATGTTTTCCATTACTGGGAAGAAAATCTTGAGCTCATGTTGTTGACGTATCTCTAACAGCCTCCCTGTAAATGCTTATTTGAACAGATGAATAGAGTTTCGGGCCTATTACCACGAACTGAGTTCTCAAGTCATGGAATTCTCCTGATAAAAATAAGCAAAGCAAAGTACAGTGTATGAGTACCCACCCTTGGTTATGAATGTCTGTCTGCTCCAGGGAAACTAATATGGGGTTGTATTTGCTTGTTTGTGTTTTAGATTGGCAACTCATCTTTCTAGCATATTGTTTTATATGGGTCTCTAAATCCCTTCCTTCCCACTGTCTGTTTTCACAAGAATCTAGAGAGAAGATGCCTCAGAAGTCACAGCAGTACAGTTAACATCACAGTCAAAATTGAAACCATTCCGGGCTGTTTTCTATCTTGTAAAGAAAAATAGATGTAGTGACTAGTGTTTGGATTGGAACATTAAACACTGTCCTTCACTCTCTCCCATACACACCCTTGGCACAATACAAAGCGTCACCCAAGCTCCTAACAGTACTATCTCACAGTTCTGGCTGGGATTTCAGCCGGAAGGGGGCCGAGGGTGCTGACATTAAACTCTCAGTATAGATAAGGCAAGAAGTTTTCACTTGGAAAACATAAAGGAAACATAAAGGACTGATTCAAGAATAATCTTTGAATTTGGGATCAAAGATTCCCAGGGGCTTATTAATATTTGTTCAGATGATCGATAAGATCTGGTTTATCCGTGACCTTCATTAGAGAATGAAGAAAGGAAAGAGAAAGGTTTGGTTGAACTTCTTCCTCTCCTCCCTTCAGGACATGCACCCCCCCCCTTGTCTGCCACCTTCTCTGTGAGCATCAAACCATCAAACCTGCCCCTCTTGCTCTTCCCAGATCTTCAGTGCCACAGCTTCTCTCACAAGGCAAGAGCGCCTGTCAGCCCTCCTCCCCCAATTACTGCCTCCAAGATTTACACACTGTAGATGGAATTAAAACATCACCGAGGACTCCTAAGTTTATAAACAACTAAGGGGGAAAGAAATTGGGTGTTTGGTGAAGGCAAGACACTTGTATATTTTTGCAGCTTGCTAGAGCCAGTGAGAATCCTTCAAGGATGGCAGCTGAGGTGCTTCAGGCACAAACACAGTGTGGTCAGGGGCTGAAGCCAGGGGATCAGGAGTGCTGTTTTCTTCCTTAATGAAATTATCAATGACACTTAAGAGTAAGGAGTCCATGCCTGAGCTTATGACAACATGCCTGAGCTTAATATTCTATTAAAATCACTTTAAACCATGTTAATCGCCATGTTCATATATTCATAAAGATACTTTGGTTTGGTTTCCATGGATGTATTTTGCAGTAGGAAGGAGGCTGATAAGATTTTTGCATACTTGTTGGTAGGTACACTTTATACAATCTATAGTTGTATGTATAGTTTTATGACAATACATAAAAATATGCCACATTGAAATTCACATTCTCTTTAAAGTCATTGATAGCTAGAATTTTAGTTTCTAGTTCATATACATAAAACATTTTCCATGCCAGTGTGAAAATCTTGGTGTAAAAATCCTAAATTTAAAGGGAAAATTCACATATTAAAACTTTGGAACAAAGCCCAATTTTAGAAATAAGTAAACAAAATAAAAAGTAAAGCTAAACAAAAAATAAAAAAAAATGGCTCCCTACTCCCATTTAGCATGAGCTTTCTTAGCTGGATCATTGGAGTATGATACGTTGAACAGCGAGAAAGAGATTTTCAGGCCAGTGCTATTCTTTTCATAGTGATGTCATCAGAATCCCAACGGTCTACACTTGGCAGTGTGGGGACAATTTTCAAAATCTGAGAAGTCACAGCTTGAAAAAAAAAAAAGTAATGAAGCAATTTCCCCCATCTATTAAGCTTGCTTTTCCCTTCCAGTGGAACTTCCCCCTCCTGATGTTCACCTGGAAAATTGCTCCTGCACTGTGCTGTGGTAACACAGTGGTTATCAAGCCAGCAGAACAGACACCACTCAGTGCACTGTACATGGGAGCCCTCATCAAGGAGGTAGGAAAACTGTTTCCTCACCATCTCCATGTGGAACCTGGGAAGCAGAGCCAAGCCAGCCTGAAAGGGGATACTCACACACACCATCCTCCAATTTGTGTTTCTTAGGCTGGCTTTCCACCTGGAGTCGTCAATATTCTGCCAGGGTATGGACCAACAGCCGGGGCAGCAATAGCTTCTCATATTGGCATAGACAAGATTGCATTCACAGGCTCTACTGAGGTAAGTACCTGAGAGACCACGGGCTGAATGACCATGAAGAGGCTAATGGAAATGCAGGTGTCGTGGTGCATATTGTAATCTCAGCACTGGAGAGGTAGAGATGGCAGATCTCTGGGGTTGCTTGCCAGCCATCCTGGGATACTTGGCAAGTTTAAAACAGGGAAGGGGCTTGGGCTCAGAAAACAAAACAAAACATAAAGGCCATTGCTTCTGAGGAATGATAGACATTTGTGGTTGTTCTCTGGTGCACATGTATGTATGCATATATATACACAATAAATACATAAATAAATGCTGCAAATAGTACCCCTAGGCTCCACACCCCCAGTGAGCACCCAGGCCCCTGAAGGGACAACATCAGTCTCCTTTCTAGAACACCAGTGAGTGTGAAAGCAGAGGTGCACGCTGATTATTTGTGATTCTGTCTGTGTAAAAACTACATCAGAGGCTGGGGTTCTGGACACTACTTTCAGTCAAGATTATAGGACAGAATGGAAATCTGAACTAGTCTGTAGTCAAGAATACAGGGACAACTTTCCCTTCTTTCCATGTTGCCAGGTTCTGTAGATGTAAGTGGTACCTGACTGCCTTGTAAGACATAGGGATGCTATAGAGCAGGAGGTCAGCAAAGCTTGCTGTGAACAGCCAGGTACTACATGCTGGAGACTTTGCAAGCAATATGATCTCCATTGCATTACTCCACTTGTAGGCCCACTGGTGCTTAGAGCATGCATAATGCACATAAACTAGTGAGTGAGGCTGTATACAAGTGAAACTTCTCATAAATGCTGAAATTTGAATTCTATGTCATTTTTGTATGGCAAAATTTTCTTATCTTTTCCTGATAGTGAAAAATGTAAAGACTGTTTTTATCTAGTAAATCATATCAAAAACAGCAAGAAAAATATGAGTTGTGGCTTACAGATCCCCGATCATCACAAATCTGCTAGTCCAGCATGTCTTTGATTCCGGTTCAGATGATAAAAGAGTTTTCAAATGTTGTTAGAGACTAGATGCTCAAGAGTACCTGCATCTGATTAGGATCAAACCAGATAATGAAGCTAGAAATGTTGTTCGCGTTCCCTTTCTTTGAGCTAGCACTGTTGTAAAGCTACAGGTGTCCTTGTTGGAACCTCATGGATGACAGCAGTGCTGAATGTGGGCTACCCTCAGGTCTGCAACATTGCAGCACAGTGGGAAGAATGAGAGCTGTATCTGTCCATTAGAGTAGGAAATGGAAAAGAAACAAATGAAATCGTGTTTAGTGCATATTTAATACCACATTTATAAAACATTATTCAGCCCATCACTGTAAAATTAGTAACTCCATATTTTACATTCTTTTTCCTGAGAAGTCTTTGAGATCTGGTGTATGATTTACATTTATAGCATGACTTCCATGTTGCAGGTGTCCCATTGCCACATGTGGCTGGTGGCCAGCATACCTGACAGCAGGTCTAGAAGCTTCCTAAAGTCAGGAGATACAAAAGTTAATGATATTTAGTTAAATGGACTTTTAATGATTTTTGTATAAGACTAATAGACTTGAATGATAATTTACAGCTAAAATGTTTGAATCATACATTTGCTGAGAGTTTATATTCTCTGATTCCAAGCTTTTACTTGGCTTGTACTTGCTATCATAATTTTGCAATGTATGAAACATATAAACCAAAATGCAGATGTCAAAGGAAAGTACTCTTCCTGTATGCACCGAAACTGTTGTTTTTAAAGTATTTGCTAAAGACTAGATGCTAAAGAACACCTGCATTCAATTAGGACCAGACTAGAAAGTAATATCTGCAAAGCAAGCCATTGGAAAGAATTCTGAATTAAGAACTGAGGCAAAAATATAGGCAGCCTTTTAACAGAATCACAAATCTACATGTTTATCCCATATGACTATGGTTGACAAAAAACCTGAATAAAATACTTCCAAACAGAATGAAGCAGTATCTACAAAGGATTATTTGCCACAACCAAATCGAAATTTACCCAAGAATGAAAGGTTGTTTTAATGTAGAAAACGATCAATTTAATGCTCTGTATTAATAGAAGAAAAGACAAAAGCTACATGCTCATCTCAGTAGACATAAAAAAGCACTTAACAAAATCTTCCTGGCACAGGAACTTATACACAACTGTTTATAACATTATTCCTTAAAAATAGGGACAACCAAAATGTCTAATAAATGATAAATCAACAAAATGTTATATATATACACAGATAGTATATTATCCAATAGTAAAAAGGGAAAGAAACATATATAGCGTGGGTCAACTATATAGACATGGAACTTAAAGAATTTGGTAATGACAAGCTATGTATTTTATGATCATAATTAACTGAGAAGTGTCTAGAAGAGGCAAATGTACAGACTCAAAGTAGATTAGTGATTTCCAGGGCTAAGATGAGTGACTGTGAATGGATATGAAATTTCTTGTGGTTTTGTTGTAATGTCCTGTATTTAGATAGCTGTAATCACTGTGGGAGTTGCACAGCTCTGTTAATAAACTAAAATGCCTGAATCACGTACATCAAAAAGAATGTCCTATAGGGTAATGAAATGAATCTGTAGAAAATGAATGATTCTGATGGAGGCTTTAAACTTTGGATATTAATAGTCAACGTTGGTTGAACAAATTCTTCTTAATGCATGTCAAGTGCTTGTTATCCTATCACATCACCTCAGCAACAGAAGGTGGTGCAGGAGTAATCTAAACACAGTTGGGAAGGCTAAGTTACTTGCCCCTGCTACGTGCTACTAAGTTACAAGGCTGCAAGTCATTCCCAGAGCCCCTGTGCCACACAGTACTGTACTGCTTTCTGACTGCAGGCTTGTACATGCCTGTAGCAGGCAGGGTTCATTGAACTCTGGGATAGCATCTCAAAGAGGGTATTTATTTATTCACTTATTGTTTGTTTTATTGTAGCTGTTATTGTTTGAAGTAGTCTTACTCTGCAGGCCAGGCTGGCCTCAAACTTATGACAGTCCTACAGCCTTAGGCTAGAAAATTCAAGGAATACAGATGTGAACCACTATGCCCAGCTCTCAAAGAACAGTTTTTAGATAATGCAAATTTTTCAGTGGAACTATTTCATTGCAAGAATCATTTTAAAGTATTGAATTCTGAAAGGCTTCCACCAGTGTTCCAATTCATTTTTTCTAAAATTCAAATTAGGATTGCATCTTTAGTACCTCTGTCGTGTGATCTGGTATAGGTCATTCATGTACCGATCTCTGATACAGGAATTAAAGTTTGGTCCCAAGATATCTCAAGTCAGTTCCACTTACCTTTACTGAAAATGGAGTCACCACATACAGCTGGGCTTTGGGGATGCTCCAACGAAACGTGTATGACAGTGTAGCCCCCAGGACAGTCTCTGAGCAGTTCTTACTGAGAGATGTACAGGCACACATGGAGAGAAGGTGCCTGGACTGGTTCTGCTCGAATTTCCTGGTTTTAAGGATACATTCTATTAGAATAGAACCAAAATTTCCCCTGTGGATCCACCTTGTTGTGCATCTAGAGAAATTTCAGTGTTCAAGATATTTAAACTTGAATAAAAAGTCCCTTCATTAAAAATAAAAGTGCATTTTTCACATAACATTATTCCTCTTCCCTTATTTTTTGAGATGGATTCTTTTTTAAAAAGGTGTGTGTATGTGTATTTGTCTGCATGTATGTATTGCAGCACATAAGGTGTTGTGTGTGTATGTGTGTATGTGTGTGTGTGTGTGTGTGTGTGTGTGTGTGTGTGTATGTGAGTGTGTGTATGTGTGTGAGTGTGTTTGTATGTGTGGCAGTGTAGGAGTGTGTGTGTGTGGGAGTGTGTGTGTATGTGTGTGTATATATATGTGTGTGTATGTGTGTATGTGTATGTATGTGTGTGTATGTGTGTGTATGTGTGTATGTGTGTGTGTGTATGTGTGTATGTGTGTGTGTGTGTGTGTGTATGTGTGTGTGTGTATGTGTGTGTGTGTGTGTGTATTTGTCTGCATGTATGTATTGCAGCACATGCATGCAGTGCTCACAGAAGCCAAAAGAGGTGTCATATCCACTAGAACTGGAGATAGACATGGTTGTGGACCACTATATGGGTGCTGGGAACCAAGCACTAGTCCTCTGTAAGAGCAGCCAGTGCTCATAATCACTGAGCCATTTCTCCAAAAAGAAAAAAAAATGTTTAAGGAAAAGATAATTCTTCCTCTTAATTCTGTTATGGTTACTTTCAACTGGGAAGGATTTGGGTTTGCCTTCCTTTTAATCTTACCACTGAAGAAAATGAAAATGCAGGTTATGGGAACGAAATTGTGAAAAGAGCATGGAGGAAAGGACCCCAGCTGTGGAGACTCCTGTGATTAGTATGTGTTGTTGACATTGGTGTGCAGCTAATGACACTGGTGTTAGTTAGTCATGGCTCAGAGTCAATCCCACATGCCAGGACCGGAACCTTTGAAGGGTCAGTGCATACTTTCTGCAATATAGAATGGGAGGTTAGTTTTGATACTACCTGGCAATAACATTCAGGTATTTTTTGTTTTGCTCTTGGTTTTTCATCTTTCCAATAGTTCTACTTTTGACAGACATTTAAAATCCTAAAGCCTCAGATTGTGTACTAATTCAGTCCCTGTCCTGCACAATCTTTTTGAGATGACATGGAAAGATGGGGAAGGGAGCCAAGCACAACTCTAAAAACTTATCCCACCACGGGACCTCTTGAGGAGTCAGTGTATGTCTGGTTTCCTAATGTCATCCACAGCCAAAGCTCTGGACTGCCTGCACTGGATCTCATCACACAATGACTGGTGAACATGGGACCTCCTTTTTCTTGCTAGGCTACTTACTCTTTAAGGAGTACAAAGTACGTGAGAGTAGATAAATGATGAGGTTTTCTCTGTAGCTGTTTCCTTCAAATCATCTTCCTAATCCCGGGTTATGGTGCTCAGCCACATTAGATCAAATTAATTTCCATCTGCAAAGCTATGCAGAGCCAT